TTTGAAAGCTACTTGACGATTCGCAAACAGTAGAGAAATAGAAGTTACCGATTTCTCAATGATCTCGTTTTTTAGTTGCAATCTAATTAAGATTCATGCATACTAATAATGAGTTACATAAAATTATATAATTATTGAAGTCTTTTATTGCTGACGAGAAGCAGGAGTCTTGGATACGCACTGCTTCTGAGTCTCATGCTAAGATGGAGAGGCCGTTTCAGTGCTTGCAGGTTTCCTAATAGTGCTCTTACAATGAATGATTGATTCACGATTTCAGTAACAAACAACAATCTCTCCATAACTCTAAAGTTGAATAAAGTTTATTTACTCAAATGTCGAATTACATCGTTTGTCATAACAAAACAAAAGGCTTTTAGTCACGTAGAGTGTGTGACTTTTTGTTTGAGTCGTGCTAAATACAATCGGAATGAAACATAGATTTAATACCCTTTTTAACTGATACTAATTTCATCATGAGAAATAACTTGTCAAACTAGCAATTTTTTGTTAGTGTAACATATCGTTTCAAATATTTGATTTGTTTACTTTGTTTCAGTAAATTTTAACAAGAAAATTGACATAAAAATTGCATTAATTGGTTCGTGTTACCATTCACAAAGCTTTAGAACTCATTTCAAAAAACAATATTCAGTATTACTATCTACTTGTTCAGTTGTATTTAGCTTGTGTCCGTTTATTATTGGGTTATTTGACAAACGTCGAAGTATTAAGAAGCAAATTCATGTAATTTAGATCGTATGAGCTACTTTATATTTACTAGTAATAGTGCTAATTCACTACAATTATCATAAACTTTGTGCTGTAAAAGTTATAGTAGTGTATCAGTATCTTAGTATCTCAGTAATAAAAAGACGTAGTGACGTTTTAGCTCAGCTGTTACTGTAAGTACTAAAATGATTACACCTTGATGAAACTGTCACGCTCGTCTCTAGGTATGCTTAAACTATTACGAGAACAAAACAATGAACCAGAGTCCAGGGAGATTATTTGTGATACGATTGTACGACTTGTACCAGCAAGAAGTCTTGATATAGCGTAGGAAGTGTATTCTAAAAACACCCAGCTAGCCACAATCAATTCAAGACTCAAACTGCGTTTATCTATACGCCATAGAGACGTCCTTGAGGACAGTACTAGTACACCAAAATGACACCGTGACCAATCACAACCAAGGATTCTCCAGGTGGGAAATGTGATCTCAATCTAAAATAAAGACATTTATCAAATGAGTTCTAGAGATCTAACATTCCCAACAGAATCACTCAAAAACTAAACTTCTATTCATTCTGAAGCATGATCACATCAACTATTTCGTCCATTATTCGACTCATATTGGGGATTACAGTAAATAGTTATTCTTCATTATTGAGTTATGGAGATCGTTGTTTAACATTGGAATCGTGAATTGATCATCGTTAGACCATTATTCGAAACCTGAAAGAATGATGATTGATTTACCATTCCAATGTAAAACAGTTATTCGTCCCTATTTGTATACCTTGATAGTCATACATTATGGGCTGTTAGTTTAAGGTAACCATTTACTGACTCATAATTCTTCGGTACATCCCATGTATATTTATGAATTCAAAACTTAGATATTTTTCACTATGGATTTTCACGTAGATTGAGTTGATGGACAATGATCTTTTACCTATCCCATGCTAGTCCTTAATTAATAATGCTTTCCAATATATTTAATCGACCTTATTCTAATGTTTGCTTTACGTTTAATTATGTATGATTTTAAATAATAAGGTTAAATATTGTCAATATTATAATGAATCATGAGCATTAGTTTATTACTTCGACAATTTACATAAATTTTTTTTCAAAAGAAATAATTACGACTACATCATAACTTTTTAAATGTTTGACCTGAAAAGCATAGTAGAGTAATTGAATCATTCATGAGAAATATTAAGGTTAACGACGTTACATCTGTATGTATGAACAAAGCATGTAAAATAAAACATTCTGAAGGTATTAAACATTAGATGATGCTTTCACAACCTTCTCAACCTTTGACTGGTCAAAGTTTAGCCTGAAGGCGCCGCTGTATGTCATTAGACTAGGATACTCAGCGTAAATGAAAGAATTTAGAAGACATCAGAGAGATAGGAAATCTAAACCGATGACTCAGTAAGTACATAGATTAATTGATGATTGTAAGATTTAATTTTTCAAACACTCAGAGGACAATGCATTCGATAACTCTTACCATTAACTTCAAGTTTAGATGATTGAATTGTTTTTGCTTTGTCCCATGTGATAATGCAAACTGATTACTTTCATTATTAAAATGCGGATGCATTCATTGTTATACCACCATTAGAAACCTGGAAGCACTGAAAGACGGCCGTTTCCTCCTGGTATGGGACTCATCAGCAGTACGCATCCGCGACTCCTGCCCCTCGTAGGATTCGAACACAGGACTTTCGGTATTGTGCGCGAACGCCCAACCATCGGACCACTGAAAGCGACATCCAGCGGTGTTCACAGTCTAACTCTGATTGGACCTAACGGGCGCGACCTCACCCATTTGTCTTGGTAATTACTGCCTACACTAGAACATTATTGAACTCCATTGGTCACGTCTTCTCAATTAGAACTCCGAGAATTTCCTCACGAAGCTAGTCACTAGTGAGCACTGTTATGATATTTTTGGGCAGAGTTTTGGAGGTTTGTGCTTTTACACATTTGATGATGAGTCTCATACCAGGACAAAAGGGCGTCCAGTGCTTTCCAGTTTTCTAATGGTGGTTTAAACCAATGATTGATTTAATGATTTTCAAATGTGTTAAACACAACCTCCAAAACTCTGCCCCAAAACAAATCTTATAAGTTAGTATAATACAGAAACGAAAATTCTTTTATATCTATGTAAACTTTACATTCATTGTTTAGTAAATATTACAATCAGGAAAACACAAAAAATCATTACCGATCATAGTTGAATGCATAAAAATATGCATAAGATTAGGAACAGATAGTAATCATCAAACAGTAATAAAATCAATGAAGTCACTGAAAACTGGACTGTGGCAGTGCTAGTAGGTGATGACGGGCCAGTCGGTGTCAGTGAGGGAATAGTTCACCAATTCTGACTTGCTCCATGACTTTTTGATTCCACTGAATGTACTACACGAATCATATCTTCTAACCCTAACCTTCGACATAACCATCAATATTCTACTGTCTCTACTACTACTATGGAATTTGAATTGACAGTTGCATCTGTGTGTGCAAAGTGTGGTATGACAACTACAACTGATATACAAAACGTCGTCGTCATCATCATCATCAAACAGTAATATGACACAATTCCATGAATTCAATTGACGATTGAATTGAGCCATGCTATTAGTGTAGACTAGCTGGTTGGGGTTCGCGAGACTAGTAACCGATGCTTAGATGCTTTGAATGACATGGCACATAATCGTTTGCAAATGCATGTATTCTTCATGTATTCCTCATGACTTAATTTCCTGTTTCCCAAATTTTTTTCCACTGGGATATGCTTCTCGGAGTCACATTTCCTAATCCTGATCTTCTTCATAACCGCCAATACTTCCACTACCTCTATTAATATGGAATTGTTAATTGACGATCTCATCTCTGTGTGTTAATCTGGTATGACACAACCACAACCTGAATGTAATAAACCCTAATGAAACTTCGTACGTTCTAAGCTAATAGACTGTCACTGACTAACTAAAACATTTTTAATTACACTTGAGTAGCAACAGGTTTACATGTAGTCCTTTTTATAATTTGCTGTACACAGATAATAATATAACTTCACACAATCTACTAAGTTATGGTTAGTAGTATGGAAATCCAACAACGCGATCTCCTTGCGACCAATTTATTGAAGGTGGCAATGAGAAGAAACCCAGTTCATACATACCATCGATTATAGCTTCGCTCTTCCACCCCTAACAATTGGTTATATTGATCCCAATATGTTGAAATAAATTTCCTACTCACAATATTTAAAAGAATATCATTTAGTATTTACGATGAATCTGAAATCCACTATCATATCCACACAAATACAAAGATATGCATCTAATCAGAAAGTGATATGAAGTAAACTTTTTATCTTAATTTCGTCACGTGTTCTTTTTCTTTTTTGTTATGGGCTCGACTCCACTCATCATCATCACATATTCACATAAATTAAGGTTGAACTGTTTGCATCCTTTTTGCTTTTCTACTGTATTAATTACCCGATTTCTCTCAGATTGTTTAAATATAAAACTAAAACAAAATGAGAACACTATCCATGTCTGTACATCGATCTATGTGTCATCTATCCATCTAGATAGATATTCCTTTTAAAAATTTATCTACCACCTAAGCTCATCCGTCTATCCATCTTCCTATATATTGATATTCATTCATCTATCCATCTATCCATCTATCTACCCATCTATCTATCTATTTATTTAACCACCTAGTGTGTTTTGGTACAACCAACTGAGGAAATTGTTGTAAAAAAATACACATATTTATATATATATATAATTAAAACAAACCAAACAGAGTAAACTCATCATTGGATTGGTTGATGGGATTTGTAGTTCTTTTTTTTTTACTTTCAAATTTTTTATTTATTTAGTTCAGTTTGTTTTGTTGTGTGTTGTGTTGTGTTTCTGTTGGTTGTCAGTTCAATTTGATACACACGATATATATATATACGTACAATCATTTCAAAGGTTATTTCATTTTTCCCACTATGCTAACATTAATTTCAGACAATTATAAATAAATACTTCATTTTTTTTGAAAAACAATAGAAATGTTTATCGTGTTATTCAAAGAATTGTATAAGAAATTGGCTCATTGAACATTGAACCACAAGGTAAAAGATTTGTTTTAATGTATCACATACTGTATGTATCATAACCACCAACCAATGGAATACAACATGTATTTATGATAAAAAAAAAGTACGATGTACAATTTTTAAAATCATGTATATTATGCATAATTTACAGTATTATTTTCAATTTTATTTATTTCTTTACATTCAATTATTAATTGATTACACAAGTTGTTATTCATTTAATCAAACCAATTCAAAGGAATTATTTTATTCTATCAATGAAGAATCAGAAATTGGTTCTTATATAGGTAATTTAAAATTAGATGCAGAAAAGAAATTTTTTATGAATTTAATGATGAATGAGAATAATTTGCCCACCTTTGAACTATATGATGATACAAATAAAAATTTATTTCGTATTGAAGAAACAAGTGGAAAATTGTTTGTTGCATCACGTATTGATCGTGAAACATTATGTCCACAACCTGATATGATTGCAGAAGAATTCAATGGATTATTATTGAATGATCAACGTTCAATCTTGTCATCATCATCATCATCATCTTCAATGATGGACAGTAGATCAAATGAAATTTTACCACCGAAAGAATGTCAGATTCACTTGACAGTTTGTATTTCACGTATACATTGGATTAATGTAATCATTACTATCCATGATATCAATGATCATGTACCTTATTTTTTTCAACTTACTTCTTCATCGAATCCTAATGTTTCGGAAAAATCAATCTATACTGTAAATGTGTCGGAATCGGTTAGTTCCGGTTATGAAATACCATTGATGATTGCTAAAGATCCAGATAAAGGTATAAATTCTGTTCAATCATATTCACTGCGTGGTGATGATTTTCATTCTTCACTATTTTCATTATCATATCGACCACCGTACAGTTTAAATCTTGTTATTTTAGGTGAATTAGATGCAGAAAGTAAAAATATTTATACCGGTGAATTGATTGCATGTGATGGTGGTCAAATCATACCGAAATGTGTGAATCAACCATTTCAAGTTCATGTAACCGACATTAATGATAATAAACCAATATTTAATCAATCTGTTTATGATATTGAAATTTTAGAAAATATTACAATTAATTCATTAATAATTAAATTAAATGCAACTGATGCTGATTCTAGTCAAAATAGTAAATTATTTTATAAATTTGGTCGATCAATTAGTCAGCCGTCTTTGGAACATTTTAAAATCAATAATGATACTGGAGAGATCTATTTGAAAGCATCGTTAAATGCTAAAGAAAATAGTATATTTATTTTACCAATTATAGTACAGGATAGTGGAACAATACCATTAGTTGGTCAGACTGTAGTTCGTATTACTGTAAAAGATACCAATGATCATGCTCCATGGATTGAAATCCGATCAACACAAGAGGGTAGTTTACAAAAGACATCAGTGAATAATAATAATACTGTGAGTAAAGTTAACCAAAGTGATCATCACGAAGCACAGTTATCAATAAATGAAAATCAACCGGCTGGATCAAATATTGGTTTAATTATTGCTGGAGATGATGACATTGGTGAGAATAGTGAAGTGATTTGCACTTTAAAATCTAAAACTGAAGATTTTCAACTTGAACATGCGAATTCTGCGAAAGGTCGTGAAATCTATCGTCTAAGTGCAACTAAATCATTTGATCGTGAAGCGATGATAGATGGGACGGTGAAAATTGTTATTACATGCCAAGATAATGGTAAACCAAGTCGAACAACTGAACAAATCATTTTATTGAATATATTGGATTTAAATGAATACAGACCAACGTTTACTAGAGAAAATCGAATCATCAAGCATAGTATGCTTGAAGATCAACCATTAGACACATTTTTATTACAAATTCATGCCAGTGATGCAGATTCTACTCCAGAAATACAATATCATATATCAAGTGAGGCACAATCCTATTTTCACATAGATCCTGATACCGGTGTGATAACTACAAAAGCTATACTAGACAGAGAAACTATGCCTCAAATTAGATTTCTTGTTTATGCTACTGATCAGTATTCATCTGAATCCATTCAAGATAATGATTTAGCTGTTGCAAATGTCACAGTGGAACTAACTGATAAAAATGATAATGCTCCAGAACTTATCGGTAGTAAAACATTTCAAATAGTTGAAAATCGTCCAGGATTCTCTGATTTACTTGGTCAACTTATTTCAATTGATCAAGATAATGGAAATAATGGAACAGTGCATTATAAATTAATATCAGTTAGTGATAGTAAAAAAAATAGCATGCCTAATGAATTATTTATGATTAATAGTGATAGTGGTAAAATATTTGCTACGAAAAAACTTGACAGAGAAGAAAATAATCAATATGAATTGATTATCTTATTGCATGATCTTGGAACACCTGTTCAACGTAGTTCAACAGCTACTGTATTTGTTAATGTGCTTGATGAAAATGATAATACACCACAATGGGAAGAAATATTACAAGCTTCAAAAGATGAATTTTCTCAACAGACTAACATACTCAAACGACCACATATGATCGGTTTAGGTACAGTAACAGATTTAGGAATAATGAATATAACTACGCCAATTTATCGAGGACAACAAATCTTAATTTTATCAGCTAAAGATGCTGATGACGTGCATAATGCAAATTTAACATTTCAACTGATTAAAGTACAACTATTGAATGAGGATTACATACAAAGTATGGATAAAACTCTATACGACAACAGAATCCATTCTACAAATTCTTACACTGCTTCATCAACAAATTCACCATATTTTATGGTAATTAGTAAAACTGGTGAGCTAGTCGCTGGTCCTGGACAAAAAGGTACCGGGTTAACTGGTAGTGGAATATATGAATTATATCTACGTGTATGTGATAATGGCAATCCTCCTTTAGATTCTAATGCACGTTTATTTCTTCAAGCGTATCAATCGGTGAATTCAGCTTTCACTGATAAATTTGGTGAAAAAGGTTTTCTAGGATATTTACTGACAAATGGTCATTTAGGAATTATGTTAGTTATCATTCTACTGCTAATTATGTGCCTTACATCAATATGCCTTATTATTGTGTTCGTTTCAATTCGACGTAGATCAAGTCAACAACAACAACAACGACAACGTCAAATCAGTCGGAAATTGTCAAAATATGATAAAACAAACGCATTTCCGCTTCGTTTGAATGATGAATTAATTATTGAAGAAAATGTCAATTTAGACGGTACAATTAGTAATTTAGGCAAGCTATACCATTCACCAATTATGAACACAATATGCCAAGGAGATGGTGAAAGTTTATACAAATGGAATCCAGAATGTGGTGGTTATACAATGGGAAATTTTGGACCACCACCAATCTATAATTTTTGTGCATTGAACACATTAGACAGAATGCGATCTAGTCATACAGATAGTGATAAAAGTAGTTCAGCATTAATGCCAACTGAATTCCCATGTCCGATGAATCATTATTGTGAAGATGGACCAATAATAAATAGTGAACAGAAAATATTTTATGGTTATAAATCTCCACTTAGAACAATATCAAGCACTGATGGATTAGTAGGATGTAACAATTTTAATAGTTACACGGAAACATGTTTAATTCCTACAACAACAATACAATCAGAATCAAATGGTGTAAGTTTATGCGAAATGTTTTCAAGCGAAGTTAAATAATGCTTTTATTTCGATATTTGCTATTTTATCGATTTGATTACAGTACCGATTCACTTGTTTTATGGAACTAAGCCACAAGCACTGTAGGTGGAAAATAAAAAATGTGAGCACTAAACTACTTAATATTTGAATCAATGTTTATACACATTGAAATCAATGATCAGTCATCGTTAGACAACAATTAGAAAGTCGCAAGTACTAGACAGCCGTTTCGTCCTGGGAATCATCAGCAGTGCACATCCACGACTCCTGCCACTTGCGGGATTCGAACCCGGGACCTTCGGTTTTGTGCGCGAACGCCTAACCTCTGGAAGTGATCTGCATTGATGTTTACTTGAGTTTTCCATGGGCTACAAATGGACATATCCAGATAATCATATGATTTATCTAGGTATTTAAAGAAATATCATCATGCCTAAAGTTTCTTTATCGTTTCCTATTAGAATTAAACTTATTAACTAGTCAATATAACATTTTCAAAACAGTTGTGACAGTGTTGTATTTTTTTATTGTTGGTAATATAAGTTAAACCAGTTTATATTTATCAGTAAATCATGCTCATTCTCCGGTACAAAAATGCTATAACTTTTAACACTAGCGTTATTTAAGATTTACTGACCACTAGTTACTACGTCGGTTCTTCAAAGAACAAAATTCATTAGACCAGATAACATTTGTAAGCATATATTAATGACGAAGAAGAAGACAAGGTAATTATTACATGATGAGTGTATATTAGGACGTCATAATTAAAATGTACATGAATATTTTTACTTTATTTATTTTCTTTCACCGTATATCATATATTCACTAAATACAGTCAATCAAAGGAATATATAGGATTAAACTCAAACCACTATGTAAATTTAACTATTCTATATAAATTCATACGAATGTAGACATGAATATTGTCTATGTAAGTGTATGAAATTGAATTAATTTATGCTTTCTGGTGTGATCGTTTTCATTTTTCCCGTGTGTTATAATATTCTTCTCCATGTTTTTTTTCGATTAGGCAAAACTTCCAACTATAAACCTTTATTAGTTTACACTACACCATTGTAGCTTTCTGTTGCTTTATATTCGGAATAATAAACTAAACACCAAACTTGTAAACATTTTCATAAATCATTGCCAGAAAGTTGATTATTTTTTTCTGACTAGACAGTAAATACACACATAAATTTATTTGATTTCTATTCGTATTAGATATGTAAGGAAAACAAAATCAGCATAACAGGAACACAATGATACGAATAAACAAACAAGCCAGCCATCGAGCCAACTAGTTAGAATAGTAAAATGAAGTAAAAAAAAAGGTGAGATGAAGTGAACAAGCGAAATAAGTTGACTACGAAAAATAAAGCAGAATTCGAAACAATGGACAAGATAATTAAGTAATCGTATTGGTTAAAGCGTATTTCATTTTGAATGAATTATCTGCTATTTTATAGTCTGATTATGCGTGTTTTTTTTATTTTTCCGCCTTTTATTCTTTCTTCTCATTAAAAAATATTTAAAGTCGGTAAATTTGTTTCGGCTTTTTTCATTCATCCTACGTACTCCCTGGTATTTCTCATTCATTGTTTTAATTCAGATTAAGTTTTTAATTGAAAAATAATGTTAAAGTAACATAACCTTTGAATTGAAAACTCAGTCAAGTGAAAAAGTGCATTGAAAGATAGGTTCTTTAATGAAAGCATTTTGAACCACAAAGTTTACATGCAGAGGTTCACACTTTTACGTTCAACAAAATTGTAATAATGCTTGAACCGCATCCTCTGATATCGATAATATTTGCCGAACAATCTGTTTGCTTGTACGTCATTAATAAATAACAACTTCTAGATTGAATGCCTGTGATTCTTATCAAGGCTAATCTCTAGACAGCACATAGTGATATTGTCGAGGAAGACAGTGATTTAAGACAATTAGTCTCTTTTATATATCTATGGCGTAAATACATCACATTTTTTAGATCGATGACGTCTTCTCACTGTTCTATCAAAACAGTGACTCTCGGATAAGCATTTCTTTTCGCATTAGGTTTGTTAAGAAAACGGCTGAAACATTCATAAATTTCTTGAAACATCTCAGATGACTGACCCAAATTTCATGTATTATGAAGCTCAGTTTATGCATGTTTGACTTGCTATAATAACATTAAAGTACTATCAGGGTAGAATAACATAATTATTCTCAAGCTTAAATCCACGACATATATTATAGTTTAGATTAGAAAAAATTAGTGAATTTTTATTTCAAATGATGGTAGATTTTATATAGTTTCAGATTCAATAAATTAATTTATATCTGTACTTGAAGTCTTTTTTTCATTCGGGTTAATGTTTTAAGCTTTATATCTGGATTATTCACAGTCTTTACTAGTTATCAAGAGAAATACTTTTAAGTATTCAATTCTACTTTGCTTTGAAGCCACACAAAACAATTGTGGTTCAAACTGAGGTTTCATATAATCAAATGTAGGCACTCTGACTGGGTAACAGTTGTCGTCCTAAGTTGCTGATAGTAATCGACCATGAAACGTTTCATTAGTATAGACTAAATAGACTATATATGTGAATATTTCTTAGTCTTTCAATGGATCAACAAAGATACTTTATAGCATGGAATCATAATACCTTACTAATCAACTGTGTATCTGTCAAATCTCCATCATAAGTTTATCTGTCTTATAACGTCAGAGAATTAGGCATCCTAATGAAAATGTGTTTTCAAGTAAAGCATACCTGTTCCTCACTTTTTAAAGTGACGCTGTTCTAGGTGTTGTTAATCGATCGCATTATTAGACAATTATGTTTATTTGATGTACAACTTTTAGTTCGATTCGTCAATTGATTTTTACTAAATCTTTTGTATATATATAGCAGTCACTTTCATTTCTTCTTGAGAGTATGTAGAGTGTAATACTTAAAACTAATTCTGTGAGACCATAGTCCTATTATAAAGCTACACAGAGGATGCTGATGGATCGATTCCTACGACTTCACCAAATTTGTTTTCAATTAATTTTCGCTACTACATAAATACCACTACTAGTACTAACGTTAATAATATTAATAAAAATGGTCTATTTTTAGGATAACATGTTTATTATAATACGGAATAAAGTGTGTAGATGACCAGCTTGTTAAGTTTCATGACCAAGTTTGGCTTTCAATTATTTAGATTAACTATTTGAAATAAAAATATTTTCATATTGTAATTTTAGTGCACATGAATTATTTACGTTTGTGGATAAAACAAATGACAGCCCTTAATGAAGATTTTTGAAAGTTGTAAAATTTTCACAATTTAAATCATGAACTGATCTTAAATAAACCATCATTGGAAACCAGGGAGTGATAGCGTCTAATGCTTCTAAGCTTTCAACAGTAGTTAGATTGAGGTCATTCCATGACCAAAACAGTAGATATCTGTTTACATTCATGCAGACAGCTTTCACCGCATCATAATTTCAAATAAAACTCTATGGAAAACATGACAGAAGTTTCAATCTCGATACTAACATTTGTCCAGTCTGTAATTCAAATTACTCTATTATAAAATCTCTACAAACATATTTTATGAAGTTGGAAATAAGTGGTAACATTAAAATCTTAGCCAATACATTTTATTAATTTGAACTACCAATAACTTGTAAGTCGATCAATCGTATATATTTATTTAACTTAACAATGACCAACAGAGAAGTTCATAATACTCGTTTTGCCTTACTTTATACCTATTTGCTGTAGAAAGTTCAATTAATGTTCGAATGTAACTACCATCTAACCATTCGTTTTAGAACCAATCATATAAATCTCGAACGAAAAGAAGTTCTAGTCAGTCAGTCAATAATGGATTTTGTTTTCTGATCGAAGTAGGTTCATTTAAAGTTCCATGAATCAGTACTAAGTATACCTGACAGTTCATAGTAAATAAATTACTTTTCTATATTAAAATATTCTTACTCAAGTAGTTGGTCTTTTATGAAATGAAGTGCAATTTACTAGACAAATTGCAAAATAAGACATAAAATTATCACACATCATGTGGTATTGTTCATTGACAATTAAACTATTTACAAAAGTTTATTTCCATGGCTTAAAAAAATATTTTTTTTAAATTTGTTTCAAAATGTTTTTTTCAGTGATTCGCTTAATTAAACAAATAGAGTATAATTTTCTCAGTATATTTAAATTTTTGAAAAATAAATCAGACAAAATATTGGTCAAATCTATTTCAAGATATTTTCATATATATAGTGATATTCAACTTGAAATATACTCACGTGACTTTTTTTAAGATACAGCTATCTAGCCGCTAGCGAAATGTGAGTTTCCCATTTCAATTTATTTGGAACAAATCAGCCAGACAGACCTGAATCATAGTGGTTATGTTCGTACTGGGATTTGAATCCAGTAACTTTTTTCCGAATGCACCAAGTCCCATCCATTGAGTCAAAATTTTTTCACATTTTATTAACGACTAAAAGTAGTTGTGACGTTACTACTCTGCTTTGCAGAATTTCTCAGTGCACAGCAGCTAACCTTTGCACATAAATGACACTTCTTGTTAACTCAGTATTTAGCCTAAAAACTGATACTGCTGTAGTGATTCATTAGTTGCAAAACTGCTTAATAGGTGATGAAGTGAACTTTTGTACAGACCTAATTTATCATAATTTATAAAGAACGTGGTTATTATCAACTGTGGTTTGACCATTACATTACACAAAAGAAATCACATAAAACTCCTACAACAATTTGCCATTGATTCTACTCAAATTCTATTAATTTTTTAATTCAGGTTTCATTCACAGCAAATAATTGATTAAAAAATATTCATTGTTACTGTTCAGTTTTCTTTCGTTAAAATTATGTTAAATGTGATTTTTTTTCACTAACTAAAATGGCTTTTCGTTAGAATTTGTCTAATTGTGAAAAGCAAAAATTTCA